TCCCGCCTTATTCGTGATGCGCTGTTCTCCTAAACCACAATGTCGAGGTGTCGGCTGTCGCAGAATTGATAACGTCTCGCGAGTTACCTGCACTGTTGAAATGCGCGTGAAAGAGCTACGCAGTTAGCAGTGGGATGTTGTCCAAAGAAGTAATTTTCGCCTCACTATCATACGAGTATTGCTAATGTTGGCCATAGAAAAAACAAACGAAGAAGCGAACGAAATCGATAAATAAATCAAATAAATTTTTGTTCCCTTTTTATTTGTGATTTTTCTGCTAGAGAGCGAAAACTTCGTTACAAATATATGCCCTACCAAACGAGAAAAGTGAGAAACAAAAACTGGTCCCCTATGAGATGCCTATTAGGCGAAGAAAAAAAAAACAGAACAAACAAAAAAATAATCTGTACAGTATGCTAGGGCTGAATCATAAATGAGCAATTTTAGGGGCGAAACTCCTTATGGCGGCACCCGTTCGTTCCCCGTAGTATGTAACAAGTATAACATTTTGACCTCCAAGGTGGTGCCGGTGAGAGACTTCTACTGTCCGTTGTTGAACAATAAAAAATAGGCTCAATGTACATGTCAATGGCTGCTAATGGGGAATGAGAGACAGGAGCATTCGGCTTTTAGTTAACGCGCAGGCTGCGATCACCATTAGCAGCCATTGGCATGTACATTGAGCACTATCTGACAAGAAAGGGTTGCTACGTTATACTCGCTGGGTGTAACCTCCTTAGCTTTAGAAAGGTTTAGCGAGCGTTGAGCCACAGTGCCATGAATACAATGAACTTGTATATACCATTAATGAACTCGAGGTGGTTAAAATGGGAAGTAGATACGAAGCGCAAGCCGTAAGAAAGTAAAAGCCAAATTCTCCGCCTCTTATTTCCCATTAGCAGCCATTGGCATGTACATTGAGCACTATCTGACTGAAAAAGTTTGCTACGTCATACTCGCTGGGCGTAACCTCCTTGGTTTTCGAAAGGTTTAGCGAGCGTTCGGCCGCAGTGCCATGAATACAGTGAACTAGTATATACCATGAACTCGAGGTGGTTAAAGGTGGGAAGTGGACCCGAAGCGCAAGCCGTAAGAAAGTGTGCGTGTGCCACCTCTCGTTTAGTCCTTAGAATGTCCGCTGGATGGCGGTGCTTCTATATGGGGAATATATGATGAAAAGATGCGAGGTGGTGGTACTTGTTGTGTTGAATAGATGGACGAACGGACACATAGACAGATGCATGGATGGACGCATGAACGGACGCAGGGGCGGCTGCATGGACAAACGCAGGGACGGAGGCACGAACAGACGCACGCACGGACGGGCTGATGGACGCATGGACGGTCACATTGACGGACGCATGGACGGACGGAAGCAAGAACGAATGGACGGACGAATTCCTCGCCCCACTCTCCATGATTCACTCCGTGGATATGCTGCCATTGTTTTTCAATTTAACGTTGTTTTAGGTTTGAGGTTCCTCAGTCAACTCGATTTGCTATTCAAACGGAATAAATTATGAGTAAATGCAGTCTTTTACGAAAGGGAAGTGTAAAACAGCGTTCATAAACCGATTGATCTAAGCGGGAGCGAAATCCGGCGCAAAACGTGCATTTTCGTTCATTTCATTACTGCTTTCACAGTATATTTTTTTTAAACGCTGAAGGCCCTTAAAATGAGAAATGACTAAATAAAGAAGAAAGCTAATGCCATCATGTTATACCCTGTGTTGCGACATGTTTGAACAGTGCCCATTACCGTCTAATGGAATGAGTTGAGCCATGGTTACTTGTTCTTTTTTTTTTTCGTATCACTCTTTCTTATCGACCTTTGTACGCGTCGTTGTGAGATAGATGAAGACAGCAATATCTTTATCTCTACGCTGGACAGCTTGCGTGTATAAGACATTCGCTGAGGACGGTGTCGTGATCGAGCGTCCGCTGAGCTGTCCGATAAGACAGCGACAAACATTGTCGTGGCTGGTTAGGCGTTTTCTTCTGTCGAGATAAAACAAACGAAAGATCGTCTCGCGATTAGAATAGAAAACGCAAGCGAGCGGAACGCGAGTCGACGTGGTTATCTTACGTTCGACCGCGGCCAACGCATTGTCTCACCGGAAGGCTTGGCGCGATTAAGAGTGCTCCAAAGTTTTCACGAGGTGAGGGGAGATATGGAGCCAGCTGTTTACGTAATGAACGCAGACTCCCCCCATCATTGATCGCGCGGAAAACAAATGGACCGTCACTGACTGATGTAATGGGGCTTTTCCCCGCCAAGCGCGGTTAATCGGGAAATTACGAAACATGGCATTGCAATCTAGGGAGAAAGCGGTGACTATCTGTGCTTTTTACTATCAAGAAGTAGAAAATACCGTTATGTTTAAGACGTTATGATCCGAGCAGCACATTCGTTAAAAAGGCCGTTAACGATACTGGCTTTTTTATTTGCTCAATATTTGATTGAATGGGGGCCGTAAAGGACACAAAAAAAATGATTTGCCGATAAAATTTTCTCCTTATACTGCGAGGAGTGATAAAGAAGGTAGCACAGAACACCCTTTTTTTAATTTTTATGGTCATGTTCGCATACCCAAGTCCTGAAATGAATCAGCAGTAGTCACAGCCGCAATGTTTGAACAACATATTGCATGAATAATTACCCGAGACGTGTAGGGAGTGAACTTCGTAATTTTCAGGCGCTGTCTATTATTCTTTATAACTGACCCGGATGTTTATTTGATAACGTGATTTCGAAGCCAAGTAGTCCCTGAACAGTTTACCTGTGAGTGTAGGACAATATTTGTACTTTATTAGCGTTAATTGGTATGCGTGCGCAAGTGCAGTTTAGATTCTGTCCACGAAGACCTTATTGATTAAATGGTGATCGCACCAGTACATATTGTTTCCGATTATTTCCATTTTTCTGTAATTTCTCGCTTGCTTGTCGATGCAATATTAATTTGACGCTGTTGGAATAGATGGCCTTAACGGAGCCTATCCTTCCATGTTTTCACAAGTAAACAGCGGTTTTACGGGGTGCTATCTTCTCCATACTCAGGAGGGGAGCTGTCTGGGAAGCCACATGGGATACTGCGTCAGGAGGAGCTGCCGACGGCTGTAAAAGAAGCAGTTCTCAAGCGGGCATAAACTAGAACGCCAACAACGTCAGATAAGGGCATCTTATGGCTAACGTTTTTGGCGACTCAGGCACCGAGAAAAACACTTTTGCGTCACGAGGCAATGAACTGCGCAAGGCGAGACGAACGCTCCGCTACAGCGCGCACAGCCGTCCGTGACCAGTTGATTACTACCCCTTTCCCCCTGTCTTAGTTCTTGCGTCATTGTAGACGAAGTGAGAGAGATAAAGTGTAAGAGAGGGAGGGAGAGAGAAGCCAGCGACAGCCTGTGTCGGCGGGGGTTATCGAGCCACACTTCTGATAAGCTTGCAGCGTTGGCTGTGCAAAGATGGCTGAAAGACGAACAGCTCGCGCGTCGTTCCTAGTCGACTTAATTACGAACAGCCAATAGGAGAGGGGGAATGATGGTGGTGAGGGAAAGCCTGATTGGGACTTGGTTTAATCCCGGCACCCTATACTTCATAGGCTCGTCACCGTACGTATGCGCTTTTTTATTGCTCGTTTTGCATGGTTCTTAATCTGTCTCTTTACAAAGCGACAGATTGATTGCGTCTTCCTCGCTTCCTTGGAGGTCTTCCATTTTTTTTGCATCCATTTGCCCACGCAAGCGTTAGAATAACTCGAAAACACCGAAAAAAAAAAAGTTGCTTGGCTACGCTCAATATGTACGAGAAAGCGAAGGAAGGCAGGCTCAGGTGGGGACTTGATTAAAATGCTCGAGGGCAGACACATCACCGATCGCTGTACCTTGGTTTAATTTTTCCAGGTAGGAGACCTCGATGGCGTCGTCGGCTTTTACAGACACGGTTCTTTCATCGAAGTAAAAGCCGTAATAAGGCTCCGGTTAGCTTTTTTTTTTTTGAAAGACAGCCCCCGAATAGAAAACCTCCGGCTGTCTGCTTTTGATTTGCCGCGTTTTCCCGACCCCGTATTCTTGTACGGCTTTCGGCGCGTCGTACCAAATCGTTGAGCGCGCGGAGTACAAAGTGTACGATGAAAGCACCGCGCATCGAAGGGGTCCTCCAGGTACGACAGAATTAATCCAGCTGGAAACGTTCCTTGCTACTTTACATGCCTGTACAAGCGATGCAGGAAAAGTGAGAGGGTCTATACGAGTGAACCAGGCTTCGTTAGTGAAAGATGTTTCTTGACGTCGGTGAGTATAGTAGACGTCTGCTTCAGGCGGAACGTAAGGCGTTCCATCCTGATTTTACCTAATCCACTGCAGTTAGAGATGGAGGCCAATTAGATATCCAATCCCCGGGGATTGAAAAAGCGAGAAGTTTAGGGCTAAGTAACGCACGTACTTTCCTTACCGCCATTTTAAGTTCCTGTCATATCACTATAATTTAGACGAGTTCACCTACGCCTCAGGCAATCCTACCTTTAGCAGCCGAATTTGTAGTGGTATGATGTCATCACTTATATCGGTCATTTTACTAAAACAATTTATGTGGCGCTCGAATCCATCAGGAATATACGCGTCGTAATTAACATCCGCTGAGAATTCACAGCCAATTTCTTTCCGCAGTCAAGTGAAGCATTACTGAGACTGATGAGATGAACCCTCTCAATAAGTTAGTGTACGGGAAGTCGTCTGGTGATAGAGATGAGGTGTAACGCATCGTCCTCTTTTCAAGAGCGATAGAAAGACAGTACATCCTATGGACGCAGGTTTGGTTCATGCCTGCGGCAAGCTGTCTTTTCATCAACTTTACTTTCTCCCTGCATGTGCCACAGTTATTACAATACACTTAAAATAGTACAAATAACTCCCCCCATATTTTTCCTAGATTCATTATCAGCTAGCTTTAAGTTTTCTCAAACGAGGAAGCAAAAAAAAGAAAAAAAAAGAAAACGAGCTTTCAGAAAATTTTTTTTCCTTTATTCATGCCTTTAACAATGTAATCTTGCATGATCCACGGACAGAGCACCCATGAGGCATAGCATGACATAGCATTCCATGGCACGTTTCGCCTTCATACAGTTTACGGCATGCAACGACTAATAAACTGAAGGCACTTTTTTCACAGGAGAGGTTGGTTGTCGTTCCATTCACATTCACTTTGGACACTGGCCCGAAATTTCGCTCCAACAGTTCACGGAAGCTCTGCAGTGAACAGGGATTGCTGCAACCTTGCAAGGCTAAAGTAGAAACCGTGTCACCGGCCTTGTACAGAACCCGCACATAAACGTCTGGTGTCACCGTCGAAGCCAACGTGAATAACTCTACCAGGATCGCCGCGCCATACGGAGCCCTTTTTCCGAGAGTTCCGTTCAAACCAATCAAGATACCCCCAAGGTTGACGTCGTGGTACACCCTCAGCGTCATCTTTGGCGTGTCGCTCGGGTCCGGGTCGCCACGCATTAAAGAGGATGACGGTCTCGCCAGCGGTTCTCCGGTTGGCCCAATGTCGTTCAAGGCATCGCGTATCAGGGCGCCTCCAAAGTGGTTCATCTGAGAGCGACACAGTGCTTCGTGTGCCATCTCGGAAGCCCAGTGCAAGTGGCGCCAGTACTTCGACGCCCAGGTGGGCACCGGCAGGTTGTACTCTTTAGCCACGGACATCGTGTCCAGCATCTTGATGGCGGTGACGAAGAGGCCAGAGGACGACTCTTCACTGAGGTTACTCATGCGGGCGACGAAACCGACGATCCCGCCGAGCGTTCCAAATAGGGGCTTTCTCAGCGTCGCGTTGTCGGCGAGAAACGCTGGCTCGGGAACAGCGATGAGTGACCGGATGGCCGCGCGTACGCGTGGCACGCAGATGGTCGAGTATTTGTCGTTGCCGTCGGGCAACCGCGTGATGGGTACAGGCTGCCACGGTTGGTCGGGTTCCCACTCCCTCTGAACAGCGTTTGCCGGGTAGAGGCCGTAAAGCACCAGCGCTGCCGTCTCGTAGCAGCGCGGCGCGGGGCTGCTGCGAGCGTCCACTTCCCGTGGGTCGTCGCTGAGGAAGTCGTTGTAGTGAGAACGCAGCCACTTACCCAGGGCGCGAGCGTTTGCTCGGCCGCGCGACGTCAGCCTTCCGTAGCCCAAGGGCCAGTCGTGGTTTTTGTACGGGTCGCCCGGGTAGGTCGCAAGAGGCGCACGGTCGGTGTGCCGAAGGATGACGACCACGTGCTTGAGCAAGTCGTTGCGACGATAAAACGGCTCAGATGCTAGCGCCAATGGCAACAGTAGTAAAATAGCGAGCTGCATCCTGGCTTTGATGGGAATAGAATTTTCTCGTTCCTGTGGTAGAATAGAGTGGTGCCGAGGATGAGGACGAAGATGGTGAGGATGATGATGATGTTCTCTTTCTAATGGTGCTCACCCACAAAGGGGGAATAGAATGTTCACAGAAGAAGTTGAACTTCTTTCTTTTCTTCTTTGTATGGTTTGTTTGCCTGGTCTACGATAAATGGACGCTGCCCACTACGATGGTATTTCAAAGCTGGCACGGAAAATTTCGGAGGTCCCCTTTTTTGTCTTAGAAGTCACCAAATAGTCCACACGGTCTTTAGAATATCTGTTTATCAAGACAAGTTACACAAAATTTTCCTGTCAAATGTTTGCTCTCTATGACCATCCGCAATGTATCAAACGGTAAGAATTCGTAAAGAAAGTGTGAATACAAAATTGCTCGTCGCACTAAAGCTCTCGGATTGCATTCCTCTTCTCAACTTGAAAGAAGGAAGACACAAGCACTTGATTGTTTGAGCGTGTTACGCTACCTGTTGAGAATGGTTCCAAGAGGGGTACCGGAGTTCATCCTTGTCGGGCGATGAAGGGTGTCACGTCGCGCACTGCATCACGCGTTGCTTTAAAAGGGCATGGCAGGGCAATTCCCGCCTGGTTACAACCCTTCTTTTCTTATCTCGTTTCCGGCAGCTCGCCTATCATAAGCCTTGCACTATTCTAACACATGCTGCAATTTTGCCCCCGAGATAAGGGTCACCAAGGTGCTCCTCGAACGTCTGACAAAAGCTAGGCGCTTGCGATCAACTTTACAAGCCCGACGCTCGATAGTGGCCTAGCAAAGGTTAGGTTTCGCAACTACGGCAACATGGTCTTGCTGCTATTGCAAAAATAATTTGCACTGCTGCGGATAACACAGATAAGACGATGAAAAAGAAAGCATTGCTTTAGTGGTTCCGCCTGTATAATGAACTATTGCTTTATATCTCACCCTTCGGTAGGCTGATAAGCGTGCAATTCAGATAACATAACAATACGCTAGCTTTTTGTACAAATGAAAAATGGTATCTTTCTCGCTACCTGCCAGCCTTCTTTGAATACAGCGTTAGGCCTACCTCACTTCCTTCCCCCAAAAACATGCCTTTTAAGTGAAGCTCTTATAACTCATAAACTCCAGAGGTAGCATCGCACGCCCAAAACTTGGCACTGTTGACCTGTACGGAAAAGCTGCTATATCGTAGTCACCAGAAACATGCGCGTTTGTATGCGCCGTTTGCTGATAATAGATGCCCCGAGGCCTTCTCGTCATCGGTGATTATCGTAAGGCAATCTGATATATTCTACCGAGGTGCCCTGTCGTTTCACGTTGCCAAGTTTTCCAAGTCCTGGATATAAATGTATAACCACCATGGTTGCCTGAATAAACTCACGTGCTGTGCTGCTAAGCTTGGGGATAAACGTTTAACTCTCAGCACGGAGGAAGAAATGGTTAAGAGGAATTGGTGCGTAATGAGAAGGTATGAATAAATAAATAAATAAATAAATAAATAAATACGGGAACACATAAATAACGAAAAAATAACACCTCAGGTACATAGAGGCAAAGCTTTGCTTGCCCTCATTTTTTTTTCTAGTAGAGCACGATCTTTCTTATTTTTATGTCTTCTACAAGTGAGCCTGCAGGTGTGCCTTTCACCGATTTCCCTGCAATTCTTCATTAAGTAAAAGTGAAGAGCATAACTGTTGCCATCTCCAATTTGGGACAGCTGCTCTATATAAGAGACCGTGAAAACATGCTCAATAAATATAAATATTGATAATAACATAATCACCGCATTCTTAATTGTAAAAGGGAGATAATTGCAAAAGGGAGCTCTCCCGCTGTTCAGTGACATATTTTGAACCATTCCCAATCTCACGCAGTTGTTAAATGCGAAGCTTTTCGTTGCGAACTTCGGCGACCTTGAGCGTATCTATCTATCTATCTATCTATCTATCTATCTATCTATCTATCTATCTATCTATCTATCTATCTATCTATCTATCTATCTATCTATCTATCTATCTATCTATCTATCTATCTATCTATCTATCTATCTATCTATCTATCTATCTATCTATCTATCTATCTATCTATCTATCTATCTATCTATCTATCTATCTATCTATCTATCTATCTATCTATCTATCTATCTATCTATCTATCTATCTATCTATCTATCTATCTATCTATCTATCTATCTATCTATCTATCTATCTATCTATCTATCTATCTATCTATCTATCTATCTATCTATCTATCTATCTATCTATCTATACGCCCACTACTTTTAGTTCTCCTGGCCGTTTCGATAATGGTATCGATACCAAACTTGGCAAGGCGTAACATGACTATATGACGAGCATATTTGTCTAGTCATAACATTAAAATCATGACATGTATGTCATGAATGTCATGATTAACATTGCGGGGTGTTGCTGCTCTTGCCCTGGTTTCGTTCACATGACATATTGCAAAACTCTAATGGCATGACATAATTGCATGGCAAACATAAGCGACAGACCCTAACATGAAAATCATGACATGTGTCAAGTAACAACATGACTACAAGCCACGCTCATGATGCGCTCTCAGCCATTTCGCTAGCGTCACATATACCAAATTTGGTATTACGGTACGTGAATGGATGACGAAGGTGTCTGACTGGTACAAACATGGTAATCATGAGATGCCTGTCATGTAATAACATGACTACATGCCATGCACGTGATGCGCTGGCGGCCGTTTCACTAGCTTCACTTATATGAAATTTGGTATTGCAGGACGTAAATGGATGACGAAAGTATGATACTGGTGCAAACATGATACACATGAGATGCGTGTCATGTAACAACATGATTACATGCCACACTCATGATGCGCTCGCAGCCGTTTTGCTAGCTTCACGTATGCCGAATTCGGTATTACGTGATGCCAATGGATGACGAAGGTATGTGACTGGTGCAAATATGATAATCATGAGATGCATGTCATGTGAGAACGTGACTACATGCCACAGTCAAGGCGCCAATACATTTCGACGTGACGCGGTGCGCGTGCTCGCCGGCATTCATTTAGTCGCGTCACGCCAGCGTTGCCACGCCAGGCACCGGTCCTGCCATATACTCGCAGGCGCGCGTCGCGCTGCGTTGCTTTGACGCATGCGCGTTTCAGGGCGTTTGGCGTCCCTCCGACACGAAACGAGGGAGACGCAGTGTTGTCTGGGTAACGAATCGGCGCGAAATGCAGCATGTCACATTTCACGCTGGTTGCCGTCGGGCCGCGCCGACGTACGCTGGTCGCGCCTGGCGTCAGACTATAGAGTGCTGACGCTTTACTAAAGTTGCGTCGCTGTGCCCAGCGTGCGCGTGCGTCAACGCTACACTAGAGTGTATTGGGCCCTTCATCATGCGCTCGCCGCCGTTTTGCGAGCTCTACATACACCAAATTTGGTGTTAGTTGACGTTAATAGATGACGAAGTGTATGACTGGTGCAAACATAGTAATCCTCACACGCGTGTCATGTAAGAACATGACAACATACCACGCTCATAGCGTGCGGCCGTTTCGCTAGCTCCTCATATACTAAATTTGATATCACGTGACGTGAATAGATGACGAAGTTAAACGACACATCCAAACATGCTAAACATGACACGGAAGTCATGTACGGCATCATTTACCTCAACCTCGTCACGTTGTGCTGATTTTAAGGTGACATATCAGCATTTTTCATTCGTGCTACGCATATGATCAATTCTCACTGTACGTGAGATCTGTCAATTTTTGTTTCGGCGGAAGCGCCCACAGGCGTTTCGAAAACATTTGGTAAACTACAAGTTTTGTATAATGTAACAACCTCGTGCGTGGACAACGTGAGCGACATTTAAATCCAAGTTATCAGTGGTTAAGCGAACTACACCTCGATATTCAGCGCCAGAGTTAACCGTACAGCGTTCGAGGATCGAAGCCAAGACGCGGCGCAAGCATATATTCAAATTTCCAAGCGTTCGTCACAATAAAACTAAATGAATGAATGCGATACGCGCGGCTCGTTTTGAAGGCAGGGCCACGTCGTCGTATTCGACACGCAGGCAGAAAGGCGAGAAATAAAAATATGAAAAGAGGGACTAATAAGAATGCGTTATGCGGTTCTTTCAATGCGTACGACTTGGCAGCGAACGAGGATAGTTCAACATTAGCCGAGCGCAGCAGCTATTCGTGAGTCTAGGCACATATCTTAAAGATCGCTTGGCAGGGCACCCAGCCTGCCCCACGATTCTCTGTTCGCGAACGATTTTCCTGAGCCGTGAAGCAAAGGAAACCGATTACAACCGGGGATCCGGTAGGAAGCTCCAACGGAAAAGAATGATGTTTCAAGAAGAGCAATAAGAAGTGGATCACGAGAATGGTAAAGGAAAAAATATATATATAACAAGATGCCAGCAATCGCGAAGAAGAGGAAACAGGGAAAAAAAAGTATTCTCGGGTCGGGGCAGGAGTTATTCTGCTTGCGGCGCTCCGCGCGTTCCACGGATAATTGTGCGCGCGCGCGCCGAATCGATACACACGTGCCGATGCTAGACACTCGCGGGAGGCCCACCACCGTTTCGGACCGGGGCCCCCAAATAATGGCGCAAACAGACGCGGCTCGTCGATAAACCGACACGGAGCGAACAATGCATACCGGTCGAAGGAAAGCAAAAATAAAAAATAAAGTAAAAAAAAACTAAACATAGAAAGTGCTGAGACGAAGAGAGGAAATCACTTCCTCGTCCACTGTGCCGCGCTTTCTTGTCTGATCGACTATTCCGCTCATTCACTCGCTCTGTCCGTTCCTACCCGAAGCCTTTGTGCGTTAGAAGACGGGCCTATATATGGTGAGCGCAGGAATATGCACATACCGTCCACACAGCTGCGGTACGAGATCTCCAACACCCTTCATATCTTCGTGCCCTTTTGTTTTCTTCAGCGTAAAGCAAATAAAGACGGAAGAAAGCACGCTCCCTAATTTATTTTTGATACTTGCTGATATGGAGAGATTGAGCTTTCTTGAATGCCAGCTGAGATGGTTTTGCACAAGATTTCGTGATAAGCTAAACGTCTTCCACGGTATTAATACCCTGGAAGACGTTTAGCTTCACGCAGCCGGGCTGCTTGATTGATATGTGGGGTTTAACGTTCCAAAACCACCATATGACTATGAGAGACGCCGTAGTGGAGGGCTCCGGAAATTTAGACCACCTAGGGTTCTTTAACGTGCACCCAAATATGAGCACACGGGCCTACAACATTTCCGCCTCCTTCGGAAATGCAGCCGTTGCAGCCGGGATTTGGTCTTGCGACCTGCGGGTCAGCAGCCGAGTAGCCACTAGACCACCATGGCGGGGCGCAGCTGGGCTGCTATGTTGAGATGAATCATAAATGAAATAATTATACTATCTCGTAGACTATCCCCATGCTAATAATATTTTTGTAACCCACAAAGGTGGTCGAATGGTCATCGTGCGCGACTGTTGACCCGCAGGTCGCGGTATCGAATCCTGGCTGCGGCAGCCGCATTCCCGATGGAGGCGGAAATGTAGG